ATTTTCTCGAAAAATTTCATTCATATTTAATAAGAGTTGACGAGTCTATCCATATTTATTATGATCAGTGGATTTATTATCAAGTGTCTACATTCTTATACATTTAATTTCATTGATTCACCTCTTTGACATGTATATATTTGGTGATGATCGACTAATTCATGATACCTGTTTTTTTTTGCTCATTTTGACTAGAATGAAGTAATCTAATGAGATTAGCTGGTTATTTGATCATGATATCAATTTTTAGTTTAGTCTTTATATTGCATTTCCTTTGATTTTATTACATGTTGATTATATCATTGGTAACAAATAACTTAACTTGTACAAGCAAGAATGTTATTTTCGACTATTATTTTCGGTTCATCTCTTTTATTAATTATTTGTTTTCTATTGTCTTTGTTTTATTTTGCATCGGAAAATGTACCACAAGTTGCATGTGGATTAGGTAAAGAATTAATATCAATAGTATTTGTTCACATGTTATATAATATCCTAATCATCGCATCATATTCCATTGTGTATTTTCTTGTTGGGATTTTTAATCTTATGACTGATTCAGTCATCACTTTGTTAATTAATTCTCTGAAAAAAAAACTAGCGCTTATGTTATGTAATATTTATTCACATTAGTGATTGATCATAATCTATACTTGAACAAATCTTCATCTGTATGGACGTACGATTGATTGAAAATATAATTATATATACCTGTATAGAACAATAATTGCTCTTAAAATATATTTAAGTCTTGTTTAATATTTATTTTAATCAATGAAATTTTTTGACCATAGTGAATAATCAAGTTAAACCACATACATAAATAGATTTGTTTTTCTTTTTTCAAGACATCACAGAACACATTTTATGTGTTAATTCAGTCTAGAAGGATAATTAATAAATATTTTTATTTACCGTGAAGAAATTGAAATCTAGATGAAAAAATTGTTGTTTCTTGATCAATATATATTTAAATTCGACGATTTGTAATCTTTTTTATTCATGAAACATTTTCCGTTTTGTATATTTGAAATACATTTATAAGTTAGATTCAATATGCGTAATAATATGTTGAAATTTGATACTTGTTTTAAATGTAAATCTGAATGAATTTGAAAGATTCTTACTATATACAACCAGCTGATCGTTCAATTTTTACACTAAATGTTTGTTCATTTTTTAACCAATTGAAAGTATTTCCAATGAATTAGAACCTGAATGTGGTGCTCTTTTCGAATATGTACTTAGAAATTTTGTCTTTTTTTGTTCAAGAGTAATGAGAACCGTTGTAAAAAAAAACCCTGACCATGATGAACTCAGAGCTGTTGGTTCACTCTAGAAGCTCCTCTTTAAACATGCTAAAAATACCGTCAGCGTTTGTCATTTTATAGAGCAGACACTTCTTTAGAAAATGTTGTATTGATCTATGTTGTAGCTTTTACCTAAGTAAAACTACAAATATTTTTTTCAAGAGATCCTTTCAACATAAAAGGGTTGTCGATTTTTCAAAACTGAATACTTAGGAAAAAATGAAAATCAAGGTGCCTTCTCAAAAGACAACGTGTACTTTGTAGAATAGCTTTATATGCGAACTTATAATTTTGGACTTTTTAAACATTAGTTTATTACTTTCAAACACAAACTGAGAAAATTTGATCTTATCTCATAGCTTTTAATAATTTCTAATGGGTCAAAAGGGAACAAACATCTTCCTCTAGATTATCGTATTTGAATAATGCAAATGTCTCCTATGGTGATTAATGGAAATAATGTGGCTAACCAAATCGATTAATAATCAGCCAAATATTTATTTTTTATTTATATTTTATATTTTTTCGACTTTTTACTTACAATTATGAGTATTTTATTTTAAACTGCTTATAATCAGTAATAAAAATTGTTTAAGTTTAAAAGCAAAAAAAAAAGAATGTAAACAGTATTTTTCAAAAATGAATAAATACATCAAGTTTATTAAACAGTCGTTTGAATTATGTTTTATTAATGTGCAATTGATTCTTTTTTTTTTTTATAAAGCCGGTTTAATTAAATTTTAACTGAGTTATAATAATAATAGTAATACAAAATATGATGCAGAAAAATTTAATATCGAAAATGTGTTTTTAAGGCGAACGAAGAAGTTGAATAATAACATCCTCATCTCTATGTTGTAATAACATTTCGCCTTTAAAAGCCAAATAACCTTGTTTACGAGCTTTTAGTAATACACCAACTAATTTATCCGAAATATTTGTATAAATCTTAAAAAGAATATAACTTTAAAACTAGTTTCATTATATATGCAGTGGCTCCCAAATTTTTCAACGAGGCTTATTTTCAAGTTTATTTCCAATAAGTAATTTTGACGATAAAAATAATTGCTACAACACTTTTGTACCTTTCGTAAGATTGATGTAGGTCAGTGAAAAATGTCGTCGATAGCTCAAAGATATCACATTTTGAAGAGAATAGTTGTTCTATCATTCTGAGTAATTTGAACAGGATTCTATTTACAAATGTTAGGTGATGAAAAACTTAGGTTTCTACTTTGCAAAAGTTCTTTACTTCGAAAGTTTTTTTTTGTTTTTTTGAAGAAAAAATTCTCTACACAAATCACTATTTTAATTCTTATTGGGACTGACGACAGTGAAAAAAGATAGAAAATAAACCTGGTCGAATAACTTTTGAAGATATTGTACATATTTATATATAACATACTTCGAATAAATCACCAAATTTAATTGTTACGATTCCATCTTGTTGTTGTCCATTGGTTTGAATAACATGACATAATTGTTTCATTTCTTCAAAAACTTGTTCTTTAATTTCCTGACCTCTATGTGCTAAACTATAAGAGTAAAATGAAAAGAAACGATATTTTTAATTAAAAAAAAACCATAAATTTTCTTACTCAGCTTTATCGGCGGATGGTGGTGCACCAATTTGATTGACTATTTCTTGAAATTTATTCACTCGACTTGCCAAATGATTTTTTTTCTCTTTTTGTTGTTTAATAAAATTTTTATCATAATCTACACTTCTATCACTTGTGTCCATCTTAATACGTAATGTGCCGAAGTTGTTGATCTGTTTTGCTAAATGTATAAGAATAAGCAAATCATACAAGCGGAATTCGTGTAGGATAGAAAAAAGAGAAGAAAAAAAAAGTAGATATCTGCCTAAAATAACAACAACACCAATATTTATAGAAAAAAGAACGCAAATGGACACAAAAGGCAATCATTTCTTATCCTACATATAGATATGTAGCTCATATGCGGAACATACATACGGTTGATATTGGAAGGAGAAAAGAAAGAGAGTCGTTTCGACGACAGCTTTATTATTAATCTATAACTCTTTGTGATATGATCTTATTTTCTAATATTAACATCCTTCTAAAATATATTATAAATTTACAATTAGATTAAGTAGAGAAAAATGCATCATCTCATCGATTATTGAATGCAAAATCCACATGATATGATAATCTTATACGAAAGTGATATACATGTCCTTGATATATTTATATTTCATCCTGTGCACTACGTGACATCATCTTTATATTTTCTCTTGAGATGTGTATGCTTAATTGATGTTCTGATGAGACAAGTAATAGTAAATAATCCGTACTAGCTTCTGTGATATTATGGATAAATACAAAGCTAAAAGAAAAGTAGACAAATAGATATCAATTGATACAAATACAATGTTTTCAAGACTTTTATTCTCATGATACGACAAAATAGAATCTTAGAGTTATTGATTCGAGTATGACTTAGTTTAAGCTATATGATAATAAGAATTTATTGATACATCGAATATTAATTTTAACAGAAAATCAAATTTGAATAGTTTATGATTACATCGTTTTTAATTAAAATAATGAGAAAACAGAAAGAGATGTCTATGAATCAATTATATGAGCTTTTTTTTTTGTTTTATTCATTAAAAAAAGAAAACAGTATAAAACTTTCTGGTGTCAAAATATTATTTATAATTAATAAAACAAACAACGTTATTCGATGCAAGAATCTACAAATTATCATGACTCAATATCTAATTTTGTATGACTATTATAAGGATGAGAAGGAATTAATTGCACATTATAAGTACATGGTACTATTATATTCAATGCATAAATACTACAATACCAGCTAATACTTAAAAATCAATATTAGTATTATAAACATAAATCGTTTTAAATTCAATTCTCATAATTAGTCAATAAAATTTACATCTTCTATGATCACAAGCCTTTTGTATTGAACACATTCTAATTGTTAATCACTATATTTTTTCTTGAATGACAAACGAGTAGAATTTTTACATTTTTCTTTTTGAAATATTCTGAAGATTATATATTTTATTTTTTAATAAAAAAAAAGAAAAGAAAGCTGCTTTATATTTTTCTCTCAATGATTGTTTTAGATTTCTTTGGTTTCATGATAATTATACTCGATTTTTCTCTTTTTTTTAACTAGTAGAAGTACGCTAGAAGCCATAACCATGTGTATTCAAGCAAATAAAATCTATGTGGAATGTTTATCATTTTGATGTTTCATAACAACGAAAAGTTTTTTTTACTGATACATAATATTGTTCAAATATTTTATCCAATGAATACAAAAGAGAGTTTTTTATGCAATGTAATGAGAATGAAAAAAAAAATGAAATAAGGAATAAAAAATAAATAAAGAAGAACACGAGATTAGTTCAATAAAGTATATTTCTTTCTGTTTATGCAGTCGTCAAAGCAAGGAGAAAGGTAGAAATGGAATCAACATACTCGTTTGAAACAAGTATGTAAATGTGATTTGCTTTTGTTTCTTTTTTTTTCTTCTTCTTCTTTCATTCTTCTACTCTTTCTTATTGCATATGTAAGAATAAAAATCTCTAACGAGCATGTCAAACATAGAGTAATGGTGGTGAAGCAAACATAAGACTAAAAAAGAAACAGACAATTTTTGATTAATCTGCATGTATTTGTATTTTTAATATAGATGCAGTCTCAACTTGAAAGTGAACATTTAGCATTACGTACCAATATTATTTCAATTGATCGACCAGATTCATCACAGGTAGAACATGAAAAATATATGAATAAGATATTTATATATACTTAATTACTTAGCTTGTTGATCTTCATGTTTATATAATACCAAAAAATGTTTGGAAAAATCGTCAAAATTTAGCAGAAAATGAAACAATGGAACAAGCTATATCAGCTGGTTTTGTTCAGTAAGTTATTTTGAATGAATAAAAATTATTATTGTAGAATTTTTTTAAAAGTGTGCCACAAAATTTGACTATACATGAGCTACGTCAAAATATTCTTAAAATTTGTGGTCAAGATGATCAATTTCCAAGAGATTTTATTTATCTAAGAAGTGTTGGTCGATGTTTAACTAAAGTATAAATTATATAGATAAAATGATAACGAAGATGTATCATATTATTTTAGGTAAAACCTCAACAAGAAACAGATCTACGAGTGAAAAATTATCGACCACCGATGGTTTGTAACTTTTCATGTTATAATTTAGCTATAGTTAAATTTATTTCTGTATTTTAGACATTTGCACCGGAAGTAAAACATTTATTTTCTTTTTGCTTTCTAAAATTGCAATAAACTAATCAACTCTTTTAGATTTATATTCTGGAAGGACATCATGATGATGAATCCTCAACACCAACCAATGCAAAAAGTTATCTTTTTCGTGAATCACCTATTCATCGATCGTTAATGACTCCATTACAGTTGACTACAAGTCGTCAACAAAGTTGGACTAAACCTATTGTTGCTCCACCACTACCATTATCAACAATAACATATCGGTCATTAGTTCATTCTGGTGATCGAAAAAACTCAATAAATCTTAATGAACCTGCTCTTTCCTCATATTCAAAGTAAATATCAAAACAATAAATAAATAAAAAAGAATATGTGTGGAAAATTTCTCCGTTTATTTTTTATGAAAGCTTTTCAACAGCTTCCGGTACACTTACTGCCAGGTAGAACATTTCTTTACTAACAAACAAAATTGTAATTTCATACTATATCGAATTTTTATCACTGTAGAGAGTTAGCAAAATTAAGAGAAGAACAAGAACGTCTTCGTTTACGTCAAATTGAATTAGCTCGACAACGACGTGAAATCGAACAAGAACAACAAAGACGTGAAAAAGAATTACTTGTAAAAAAAGAAAATCGATTTCGAGAACAACGACAAAAAGAAGAAGAAGAAGAAGCAGCTGTTCGAATTCAAGGAGCCTATCGAAATTATCGAAATCGACGTAAATTAAAAGAACAAAAACAACGACAGTAAGTCATTAGTTGTTTCATATTTTTTTTTCTGATTAATAATTTGAAAGTATATAAAATACATCTTACATAATTCAGCACTGAAGACAATGTACATCATGATAATCAAAGGTTGTATCAGTAATCATTCTTTTTCTTTCACATATTTTATTCGATTGTTCGTGTTGATGATGAATGTGCCATCACATTTCAAATGAAGCACATATCAACATCAATTGTGGTTTTTTTCCACTTGTTTATATTTACACAATACTCACATTTCTCACTCCCATATATCGCTATATATATATATCTATTACATATAAAAAATTCACATTAAGTATTATTCCCTTCACAGAGATGATGCAGCCGCTCGAATCATCCAAAGAGCCTATCGGGAACATCGTAAACGGCAACAACAAAATATTGAATGATGACAATGCATGAATTTATGTTGTTTTGACTAGTTGTTGTTATTGATGCTGTTGTACTTTCTCAGTATTTTCGATAGAAAGAAAAAAAAAGAATCGAAATATATATATATATGCGTTTCAGAATATCGAATTTTGTTAACTATCGAGGATTGTGGTCACCAGAACCAGACGAACGACGAATACCATCGTCGATTGAACAGAGAAATGTACATTCAACACCATTAGATAGGTATCGAAAATGGCGAAATGAACATCAATGGTCAGCGTCATCTTCTGTTAAAAGCGAAAATATCAACACAAAAAAATCTGATGCCAATCAGTCTTTTGGCTTTTCTTCTTTCAGACATGCTGCTAATGAACTTGAACGTTTACAAAAAGAAGCGCGTGAGTTAGCTCGTCGTAAAGCTGAAGAAGCACATGCTGAAGAACTCAATGCTCATGATGGTAATTTGAGTGATTGATTTTATACAGACAATGGTTTGACATGTATATGTTTTTATAGTTGTGCAACTTTCAAATCATCTTCAAGAACTAAAAACAAAACGTACTGCATTGGAAGCAGCTCGTGAAACCATTATTCGTCAAATGCAACAGTTACATGCTCAAATTGCTGTTCGTCGAAAAGAAGGTTAAATCAATAAAAATTAGTCGTTATTTAAATTTTTCCGATTTTATCTTTATTTTGTTTGTTTCTTCTTGTAGAAAGAGATGTATGGAAACAAAGATATCTTATAGAAAAGAAAAAAACAGCTGCACTTGAAGAACGAGGTCGACTGACATTGGTCGGAATATAAAATATAGATCATTTGAATATCTGTAATTATATTGAAGTGTCTTATTTTTCTTTTAGAATGAACAATCAGATATAAATACTGAACTTGAACAAGCTAAAATTCGTTTGAATAATAGCACAAAAGTATGATGAAATACATTGAAATAATCAAAAAAAAAGCAAAAGTTACTATTTTTTTTGTATTATAGCTTCGACAACAAGCCGAAAATGAATGTCAGCTTTTGAGAGAAGAATTACAAAAAATTCGTTCAAATATGAATAATTTAGAAAACCAACCATTATCAAAAGAACCATCTCCTGTACAACAAAAACAGCAAACTATACCAATTTCTCTTGACATTACATTGCAATATTAAATTTATCTTTCTATACAAGTTGGTTTTCTCTTTTCAACATTGAATTTTAAATAAAAATTATTAGTTGTGATTCAATACAAGTTTATGTCATAAGACAAGTCGAATATGTTTATTATTTAACCATTAGTACCATATACAATATATATATATATAAATCGAAGAATCGTTAATTTCATAAATTATGAGTTTTATATCAATGTGTTTAATAAATTTGGGCTATTTAGTTAATAAATTGTATAAAAATAATCAATTTTAAAAACTAACATCGACAATAGTTATGATAAAACTAAATTTCAAACAGATAAGCAAGTGATTCATAGAATAGAAAAAATTAGTATATTTCATCTTTATATATTATTATATAATAGATCAACAGTATTGGTTATAATTCGAAGAAGAAAAGGATAGCGGAATTTTTTTGTTCTATATAGCATAGAATGAATTTCTATGTTTAGCAATACGTCGTCATCTTTAAGACTACCACCATTAACAAAAAATGTCTATTGTCGTAAAAAAAGAATGATTTTTAATACAAACGTACAAGAATACTGCATGAAGTGTCTACTGTTAAAATTGATAAAATCAGTTTTCAATATCTAGAATGTTGCCAAAAGATTTACTAGAAACTATTGAGATGAGTCAGGTAAAAACCCGGACCAACACATAACATGGCCATATTTAATGTTGATGTTTAAGGATAGGTTGATTTAAATGCAAGAAAAATGTTTTTATGCTTTTCTCACACACAAGGAAAGAATTCTTCTATTAGGCTCAATTGATGAAGACATGATGGATTTCCTAAAAATCAAGATTTTAACTTTCTAAGACAAAAAAACAACAGAAACTCAAAAAAAAATCTCTTTTTCTCGTACAAAGTGATACTGTGTTTTTTCCCATTAAAAAAATACCTCAATAACTTTAGCTGGAAAAGTATATCGGCAAAATTTTCATGTCTGAAAGATCCATTTTACACCCTTGTCTCATGAACAGTAAAGTTTTTAGACCTATTAAATGTTTCGTAACATTTTTTTATGGTTTCAATATTTCTAAAAATTTTCAAGACTCGGACCTGATCAAACTATTCTTTGACACTCTCAAAGGAATTTTCTAATAAAAATCCGATATTCGCTTCGGAGATATGAAGTACTTTTCCAGGTTATTTTTTTTTTTTTGTATTTAGTGACTGACACATCCTAGATATCGTCAGATTGGGGATTTAATCGAACTGGCTCTAAGAAGTAGGCTAAAAACGCTATACTTCTGATTTTCGAAACTAACGGGTTTGATGACGTAAGCGAATAAAGCGTTTAGTTTTTTAATGCAATAGTCTACGACATTGAACTTTTTTGCTAGCAATTATAAATGTTTTATAATTAAGTCAAAACAAACATTGATAGATAGATCGTGCGGCGCTAAGAAAAAATAATAATCAGATATAATTATTTTGATTTCTCTAAAATTGGAAACGCATATCAAAGATAAGAAGATAAAGAATCAAAAATAGTAACTTCGTCATCATAACTCATAGAAACAAATGACATTAATGTTACTTCTACGTTTGTTAAAGAGAATCTCCAGTCTACGATTCTGTGTTTGCTGCTATGTCTGAATAAACTTCAATTAAATGTAAGTCCTAATTTAATTGGAAGAACTTATATTAAAGATTATTTTTGAAATTATTCTACATTTAAGTTCATATTTTATTAAAATCAAATATGATATTTTATTTTTTCTAAGAAAATTATTCAAGAAAAAAAAATCTATACATGATAACCTTTTGATGAATATTCTTCTTATATAAGATCTGATTTCGATAAAAATATCTATCTTTTATAGTATATATCGATTTTATTAATTTATTCGAGTATAATTATGACTTGTTCCCAGCAACATTTTTTTAATAAAAAATTCCATCTAAAATACTTTTCATGATGAAATAGCAATATTGACATTTTTTTTTATCGCCTACCAAAATCAAAACTTCAATAAACCAAAATAATACGTTTTCATCTGATAATCTATTCTGATGACAAACAATAAAGAAAATCAGCTACTGATCATCCTAGCAATTTTCTATTTGATCCTTACACAAATACACATGTTTGTAATGTGATACTATAAGATGACCGATTATTCATTGTTTCTTTTTTCTTTTTTTCTCTTCATTAAATATGAACTCTGTACGTATCATCCACAAGAAAAAAAAACGAAAGTGATTTACATATACAAACGTTTAAAGAGTCAGAATATGATGCATGTATAACATGGAAAACGAGAGAAAACTATAATGAACAAAGGTTTGAATACGGAAAAAATAAAGATACAAATAGAAAAAAAAAGAAGAAGAAAAAAACATTGAATGATAAAGGAGAGATTATACATGTATTGCAACCAGATCGATCACCTCGGATACTGACTAGAAAGAATAAAAAGCGAGAAAGAGAAAATGAGAAAAGATAAAGACTGAAATATAAATAAACTATGTCTCGCGTTTAAGTCCATTTAAAAGAGGCATCGGTGTTGGTTGTAAAAATGAATCAAAATACAGATGATGATGAGGAGGAGGAGGAGGAAAATGAGTTCCCGGATGTGGTATTGGATATCGATGATGAGAATGATGAAGAAACGAAGTTTGTGGTGATGACGATGATGATGATGAATCTTTTCTTGATGTTGTTGTTGTTGTTGTTGTCATCATAGCCATTGGTACAGTTCCATTTGTTGATGAAGATGAACCACTACCATTTGAATTTGGTGGTTGTTGATGCATTAATATACGTGATTTATTTTCTTCATCTGAATCAATCGATATAGAACCATGATGAGGTGAATGATTACCTTCATTTGTATTTCTTCCTTCAGGATGTTCCATCATTGGTATATCACAATGATCGATAACATCATCCGAGTCATCAATATTATCAGCATCATCTTCTTCACTCCATGGTCCACCACCAACTGAATTAGGTCCTGTACAAGCTGTTTCATCTTCTGTATAACGCAGACATTTTTTCTTTCGTCTAGAACAACAAAAAAAAAATATATATATATATAAAAATTTACAATGTCTTTCATTATATTTTAATTCATACATACTTGCAATGTTTACACCAATTCGATTGTTGATCAAGACCAAATCTTGCACGACATTTTTTCTGATTAAGACATTCTAAATAAAAACAAAAGAAAAAAGAAATTATTAATTTCAACACTAATTTTCATTACCTCCATTTTCACCTTGACTTTTTTCTCTTTTTTTTCCTTTACTTCCACGTTTTTTTCTTGAACCATAATTATCTCGAGCTGACCATCCGGGATACAATTGCATGTGTCTCATACGTTCATCACGTGCCATATCATAATATTTTTGTTGAACATTACGATCAAGTTCATGCCACTAAAGAAAAAAAAAAACGAAGAAATTTTTCTTTTTTGTTTGAAAAAATTTTCTCTATTTCATTATACTTTTCGACCAAGTATTTGATTTATTGCTGCACTTTCACGTAATGTACATTCTTGTACAACTTGAGCTCGTTGTTCCTTCATAAATAACATAAAAGCATTCAATGGTTTTTTAATATGAGGTTTTTTTGGTTTATTATCATCATGAGACATTGAAAGTTTATGATGTTGTTGATGATGTTGTGGACTATTGTCCATAGATCTTAGATTGCAGTTAATAAAAATATAAAATGAATCGATTATTTTATATAAACATACCTATGGGTTGTTGATCGTTTTTGTGATAATGGACTATTGCTATGAGTTGTTATTGATGATGAATGTCCACTGGTCGTATGTGTTGATGATGAACCTTGAGAGAGAACACTTGGAGAAAATGGATATCCAGGTGGAAATACAAATGGAAACATAGGTGGACGCCTGAAGTTAAGAAAAAAATAAAAATAAATACATATTTGGAAATTTATTAAAGAATAAACAAACCAATGCTGAGCATAAAGTGATTGAAAAGAGGATGGTGATGATAAGGAATACATTGAATTAGGTACACCTATATAAGTAAATATATATATGCAAATTAATATTCACTTTTGAAAACAATATGTTTGTTATATCTCAAATAATACATTGATATCGAACTTAGATCGTTTTTTTTCGAATATTTTTAACAAACAATTCACTTTATTTGAAAAAAAAATCATCATATAAATGAGAATGGTTGAATTAGTCGTTACACTCAAGATAAATTTTCTACTTTTAACTTTTATCTTGATAAGATATGAAACTAATGCTGAAATAATTACTGTTCAAATGCGTATACTATTCAATGTATCATTTTTATACAATTTTCTATTGTCGCTTGTAAAATTTAAATAAAATTATTATTTCATAGAAAACAATAACTTCGGCAAACAAAAGCTATATTTTAGTTTGTTACAAATAAACAAAAAAAAACTTTTTTTTTCTATTGACTCAATCAAGATTTCATGTTAGTTGATATTCAATTCAAAAGAGAACTATATATAAATCATGTGAATAAAAATATGTTAATTAAGATCAAAGTGAAAAGATTTTAAAATGCCACAAATATGAATTGTTTTCATTTGTAAAAGACTGAATTTATTAAAGGATAAACAATGATTCTTTATTTTTTAATCACTAATAAAATATTGCTGTCATGATAGAAGATTAATAACAAAATCTTTTATTCAAAGAAAGTCTTTATAATACGATACAAATGTCAGATTTATTAAGTTTCTTTATTTTTGAGCTGCCGAGTATTGAAAAATTTATCATATATAGAATAAAGAGTAAAATAATATAAATATAAACTCTTTTTGGTATTCTTTTGTTGTGGTCAAAAATAGAAAACTATTATGTTCATTTTTATATTGTGTAATTATAACATTGATTATTAGATCGGGATTCTAGTTGGTGCAATGGATGCTCTGACACATCACATTGAACATTCTCTTTTATTCTTTCGTTCTCATTCATTGTCTTGTGTCTCGTTAATAAGATCATTTTCCACTTTGTTA